CACCGTGCTCTGCGCGGCCAGGTGGGCTGGGAGGTTGAGTTTCCGAGGGGAGGAGGAGGAGGAGGAGGAAGAGGAGGAGGAGGAGGAGGAGGAGGAGGAGGAGGAGGAGGAGGAGGAGGAGGAGGACGAAGAGGGGGAGGAGGAGGAGGAGGAGGAGGAGGAGGAGGAGGAGGAGGAGGAGGAGGAGGAGGAGGAGGAGGACGAGGAGGAGGAGGAGGAGGAATGAGGGAGGAGCAGGAGGCCTCGTGGCTCGGGAGGCCCGTCCAGGGGCCGAGACAATGATGCAGGCGGGGGCACGGCGGCCAAGCCTAACAAAGCGAGCCCGACGCGTCGCTAGCACGAGCGGCATGCGAGCGGAGCAGGAGGAGGATATGGAGCAGGAGGAGGAGGAGGAGGAGGAGGAGGAGGAGGACCCTTCCTCGGGCAGGATGCTCCCGTTCGCGGGAAGGCCTTTTCGCCTTTTCCCGAACAGCCTGTGCTAAAGAAGGGCTCCTTTTCTCCAGGTCTCTTCCCCAGAGAACGATTCATCGGAGAGGGCTTCCCCAGGAAGGAGGAGGCGGAGGAGGAGAAGGACGAGGAAGAGGAATAGGAAGAGAAAGAGGAGGAACCAGAGTAAACCCAAAATGCAATATTATGCTGCAGCACACAAACACACACGTCGCACGCCCCGTCCTCGTAGATCCGTGCATGGAATCCATGTCGCTACGGTATGTAAATGCCCCCCATGAAAGACGAGCGCCCCATGAGCCCGCAACTCAAAACAAAATAATTGTGATTAAAGAGCGGGTATTCTAGCGATCAGGAATGCGAGAAGGTTGGATCACCAAATTCAAGCAAGAGCCCAGCGAAAACTCCGCTTCGAAACTAAGTCGCCCTGTATCCGTGCAACTATTGCACTATGTTACACTTCTGGTCTGAAGAGATCTGGTCTCAAGATGTGCGCAGGGCTTTGCGTGTGCGTCGGTTCCCTTTCCCATGGGCCCATGGGTGTCAAGGCGCCCAGCGCTCAGCGTATGCATTAGACCTGTCGCCTAGAGTGGCCTCGAGTATGCGTGGAGATGCCCAAAGTGGCTAGCGCGTAATGATGTCGCAAGGAGGACCACAAACGAGCTAACACGCTAAACAAAAGGCTCCTTAGACCCATGCTTTGAAGCCAAAGCCCATCCTTCCCCACTTCGATGATCTCAGGACGTGTGTTAGCGCCATCGTGTGCTTGTCCACCGAAACCCCTCAATACCTCGCAGGCAGCGCGATGCGGGCCGACACATGCTGCCTGCTGTCGGTGAAGCGGCAGGGGGTCAACACACACACACACACACACACACACACACACACACACACACACACGCACACACCACACACACACACACACACACACACACACACGCACGCACGCACGCACGCACGCACGCACGCACGCACGCACGCACGCACGCACGCACGCACGCACGCACACGCGCACACGCGCACACGCGCACGCAGATGTGGAACATCCGGGGGCCACGCGCGGACGCGCGCGATACACAGGCGGAAGCCTGGCCTAGACGCCCATAGAAGAGCTGAGCGCTGGACAAATATTTCTACACTTGGGTATGCAGGTCTCGCCAAGGCCAGACGCGTCACGTGTATCCAACCTCCTGGCACACTCCTGGTAATGAAACCTGAAAACCCCGCGTTGAAGCGAAAGCCCCTCGGCCCCCCTTCGCCACGGAGCGCGCCAACGCGGCGCCCTTCAGCACGACACGGGCGGTGCTGTGGGGGCCGCCACAGGCTGCAGTCTACCGGTGCAGCTGAGAGGGGCAGAACTGCTTCGCCCCCATTCCCCAGACATCCGATGCTTGAGTTTCTGCAAATCGGCGGTGGACAAACCTCCCTTTAGTAAACCTCCCTTTAATCAAAACGGCCTGGGACCGAAACCGACGGACCTGGACCCGCAAAGATAACGGCCGCGACGCCCTCTCGCGAACCGACAAACGGCCAATTCGCTAATCGACGTGTCAGGGTAGGTCTGTCCACCCCCGAGAATACGTGGACCCCCAGAGCTCTCGAGCCACACCGCGAGACGGGCACTTCATCCCGAGTCGCTCTTCGACGGCCCTGGGCCAAGAGAGGGCCCCCCGAGGCAGCAAGACGGCAACAGGAAACCTCCCGTCGCGCGACCCGTTCACGGCGCGAGGGGGCCTCACCCGATTCCGTACCCACCTCGGTAGTGTTGTGGATGCCACGACAATAGACACCCTGACAGTCCTATCATCGAATCAAACATGTGTTTAAGCAGGCGGAAACTGTCCTGGACATGTTTTAAGCATGTTTTTACCCTGCTTGAAACCGTTTGGACACATGTTCTAGACATCTGGAAATCATTTGGCAACATGCCTCCTCTCCATTGATCGTCCTCCACAACGATAAGTGCCGAAGCATGCGTCTGGAGGATCATCGACCCCTCTTGTAAAAGCGTGCGGCCTTCAACCTCCAGGCCCGCCTGCTCGGCGACGGCGGCCTGGGGGGAGGCGCGCCCGCGCGTCGTGGCGGCGCCGGCGCGGAGGAGCCGCCGCGGGAGCAAGAAGGACGAGCACCTGCCAGGCAGACCGGACGCAACCCACCAGGCCACACCGTGAGCTCGGACTCCCCAGGAGAAACCTGCGGGGCGACGCTGGGGGGGGGGGGCCTGCTCAGGGGGGGGGAGGAGGAGGAGGAGGAGGAGGAGGAGGAGGAGGAGGAGGAGGAGGAGGAGGAGGAGGAGGAGAAGGAGGAGGAGGAAACATCCCCCCCTGAGCCCATATCCCCCACCGCCGTTGCCCCTGCTTTGGGGAAACCAAGGGCTACAGATGCAGTGAAAACGTATAGTAAGGACGTGTGGCAAGGACGCAAGACCCTTGGAGGCCGAAGTTGGGTTTTTTTGGGTGGCGGTGACCAGTGAAAACGGCAAAGGACGGGCCACAGAGGCAAGGACGCAAGGGCATCCTAGATGAAGGCGCGCGTCCTTACTAGGCGCGTTGACTGTACAGCTACTCCCCAGGCCTCTCCCAGAGGGGCGGCGGGCGGGTCGGGTCCAGTCCGCAAGGCGGTCACGGACACGCGCGAGGACGAAGAGGCGGCACCGCCGCCGCGCTCGAGCGGGTCTTCTTCTCTTGGTGGCGTGGTGCCGCTGCTCTTCGGCGTCCCGCGAATGGCGCTTCCAATCCGCACGGCAGGACACATCCGATGAGAAATCTTGCTCTCGGGAATATTGGGGCACATTCTCTGGCGACCATTGAGAGTCCGAGGGTGCCCCAGGATTTCCGCGGGTCCCTGGTGTCACCGGGAGGTACGAAATTTCCGTGGGGCACCTGCTGGCAGGCTGGCTTCTTATTTGAGGTGCCTGCTGTAGCTCGGGCAGGTAACTGTGGACCTCCTCGCCAGGGGTGGCTTTGGTGTTGGTGGTGTCGTTTCTCCCTCCTCCGACTCTCGGGGTCCTTGGCCTCAGGCCGCCCTGGCAAGCCTCGCGGAGCCCCCAATGCTAGGCTCTGCCCTCGACGCTAGAGGCCGAGGGTTTCTATAGGTTTCTGGGCAGCGTGTCGAACTCATTTGGCTGTTGCTCGCCTTTCTGAAAGGCCTCCCAAAAATTTCCCAGGACTTCTGGGGAGTCCGGATCCAGGGCGGCAGTAAAAGCTGACCACCTGGGCGTGCCCCCCGGTGGGCGCCAGGAGGCCAAACCACTTGAAAAGCGGAAAACTACAAATCTCCGGCGGACGTGCAGGGCGGAACGGGGTCTCTGAAGGGCAGGCCGAGGAGCAGAAGGACGAGGAGCTCGAACGTATCGTGCTCCTCCTCGGCCGCGTCCTCCCGCTTCTCCTCCTCCTCCTGTGCCTGCTGCTCCCTCTGCTGGCAGCCGCTGCGCGGCGCGCATCGGGTCACGGCCCTCCACCGCGCCTGCCCGCGGCCGACACTGGCGCCGCCGCGCCAGCCCGTGGACGCTTGGGGAGGGGCCCACCATCCTCCTTCACCACGTGTGCTAACACGCGAGGACGAGGGAAGGGGTAGGACGGGCGCGAGGACGACGAGGACGACGAGGGCGAGGAGGAGGAGGAAGAAGAGGAGGAAGAGGAGGAGGAGGACGACGAGGAGGAGGAAGAGGAGGAGGGGGAGGGAAGAGGCGGGAGGAGGAGGGCGGCCAGGACCCGGCCCCGCTCGTCCGCCCCACGGGCGGCTGGCAGCTCCCACCTCGGAGGCCGGCACCACACCTGCGAGAAGCTGTCCACCCTCGTCCCTCCCTCCTCCATCCTCCTCCTCCTCCTCCCCCTCCTCCCCCTCCTCCCTCCTCCTCCCTCCTCCCTCCCTCCTCCCTCCTCCTCCTTCCTCCTCCCTCCTCTCTCCCTCCTCCTCCCTCCTGTCTCCCTCCTCCTCCCTCCCTCCCTCCTCCCTCCTCCCTCGTCACAATCCAGTTGAGCCCTTTCTGGGGGTCGTGGTGTCTGGTCGAGGGCGGGGTCGGCATACAGACTCCACTGCAGTCCTGCACAGGGCCGATGCGTCTGAACAGGACTTGTGATAGGCCTCTCCACGACCAAACGACTGCACCTGACGTGAGGCAGGCAGTCAATTGGCCTGCAGCTCAGAACTTCAGGGCCGCAACGTGACTGGAGGCTGCATCGTATTTTGCATCATCTTGGGTCCTTCTCACACCGTTGACCTTCTCCCATGATCGTGCTGCTGTTGATCAGGTATGCCATCGAATGGGCCCAGTGGGATATACAGCAGTGAAGCTCGTCGTCCATGTGATCCAATGTTGAGTGTGTGTCGTATGGTATTTCTTTCCAACTCTCATAAATACTGTCAGCCATGAACTTGGATAACTCCACCGGGTCTTGTTTGATCTGAAACGTTCTAAACATTCTGGGCGAGTCTCGACCTGCCGCGATCACATGGCTCGTTGGTGCTGGCATCGTCCTCAAGCGGGTTGGTTTTGTATCTGGCGTCCAAATGTGCCAAGACTTCTGGCAGGCACCGTCAAGGCCCTCGTTGCTGGTCCAAAAAAGCATTGACCAAAGGTGACCGCCAGGACATTGGCCATTGCCATCAGCTGTTTTGCCTCTGGCAGCGCCCAGCATGAGGCCGCCTCTGGCCTCCAATTTCGGGCGGGGCGTTCGAGCAACATGGGCGTGAACATGACGGCGCAGACTGCTGTTATTACTTAACGGGCGAAGAACAGTATAACATAAACTTTTTCGCCGTCGAGGGCACCTGCCCCAGCGCGGCTGGAAGATGTATACCCTTACGGTGGCACCGTAGGGGTATAAACTTTCCAGCCGCCCAGGGGCAGGTGTCCCCGACGGCGGAAAAAATATGTTATACCGTTCTTCGCTCGCTGAATTACATGGGCGCACGCATAACCATGTTCCCCAAATCAACCTCCTGCCGGCACCTCATCTCCATGTTCGGACGGCACCGTGGATATACGGCTGAGCGTTCCGGTGGCGGGCCCGTTCTTTCATGAGTCAAGATGACATGTCGCGCTCCGCTCAATGCTTCGCATAGCGGCCCTGCCACCACTCCGAGTCTTTGGCCTGTGCGTATTTGCAAATTTGGTGATCTGCTCGCTTTGCATCAGGTCAGCCAGATTCGTTGAGTTCGCGACTACTGATAAGACCACCAATGGACAATCGACCTGCTGTTTCAGTTCGTATTGAATATATCCATGTGGTCCCTTTCGAAAAAAATGCGATATGGATTTGCGCGTGGGCAAGTGAGTTGGCGCTGCCGCTGCTTGCTGGCGCCCTCATGCTCGTCCGTCTTGATCGTCTTGATCGCCAGCCTCGTCGAACATGTGCGTCGCCACTGTGACGGTAGTGCGGCGACTTATTTGTCTTCGTTGGTCCGCTGCATCTGGCGCATCTGGCGCTTGAGCTGGTTCCTGACTAGTGGGGGCACTTGGCGCACCCGTAAAAGCAAGGTTTTGGCACGCGGCGCGATCGTATCCAGCCTTCTCGTCGAGCTGGCAGCAGAGCTTTCGTCGCAGCGTACCCCTGCATATTTAGCTCGGCTACGTGCGATCTGTCCAACGCCCTCAGCTCGTGAACCTCCCCGTCCGCACACGTTTGCATTGTGATGCGCAGTAACTCTAAGCAAGCTTCTGACTGATAACGCAAGTGTGCAATCAATCTAGGGAGCGTGCGAAACTGTGTCTTGCAGCTGTGAGTAGCATTGAGTATCATCAATCCAAGCAAGCTCACAGAAGATGCGTGCATGTAGTCATGAGGTGTTGCTACATATCATTCTTTCCACAATGAGAGCTGAAAGATCGGCGGAAGGCGATGAGTCGCCTGCCACCGATCCTTTGAGCACTTCTAGAAAGAGGTGTCTCCAACATTTCAAATGATATTGGTCACGTTCGTGCCGTCTGTATATACCCCATACTAGACGAATATGACGTCGAAATGTTGCTGGATCTTCTGTGCCATTGTCAATCAATTCCTGGATCGTCCTGCTGCGTATGGGGACATCGTCGTCGGCGCACATGCGTCGAGCCACCCATTGGAAATCTGGCCTGAATCGGCCCGCCCACCCATTCTGACTTTTGTCCACATCCCCAGCGTGCTCCAACATTGCTAGCATAAATGGCCGGACCAGCCGCGAGCTGAGACGCTAGGTATCGTAATCGTCGTAGTCGCACACATGCCATCGGCGGTGGCCGGTTGGCTTCGTGCAGCACGTGCTCGTTCGTACGGCGATGTCCGTCTCACTGCGGCATGTGTAGCCTCAGTGCTGAGCGGCTTTCTTCGTGGTATGCTGAGTCCAGGGCGTCGACCTGCTTGGCCTGCGAGCTGGACATTGGCGCGCGCGTCCGTGATGCGAACCTTCGGTTTCGTCCTCAGGCAGTTGAACGTGTGGACGCTCTTGCGCATCGGTATCATAACGTTCTTGTGCTGATTGATGTTCCTGACCACCTGTGCGCAGAGGTCCCCGCCAATGTCAATAGTGGCGCCAGAATGTTTGTGCGCCGCCTCGATGTGCACTTCGACGTTGTCTTCCTTGTCGTTATCGCTGGCAGTGCTTGAGACATGGTTTGCAGCTGTGCGCAGTTGGCACCTGGTCTTTGCAGCCCTGGCATTGACGCAATGATTCCTCCCTTGTAATTGATGTCGAACTGATATGCGTACTTCATGACGTCTTGAATTCTGCGCAGGGAGATGTTGTGGCGCTTGGGCAATCGTGGTCCGTTTGTCGCGCTGGTGGTACTCGATTGCGCAGGCCTGCTGCCGGCACCGATGATTCTGCATGTTCTGCGGGCGCGTGAACGCGATGCTAAGGACTAAGTCCGCCAATGAATCTCCTTGCCCTGAGCTTCTTCTAGGTACTGATACCTCGCCACGGTGTGCCGCGCCGAAATGGGCCAAGCGACGCTCATTACGTTGCTGTGCCAGGCGTTGATCATCGCGGAGGCGCTGCAAAACAACTGGCGCTCGCAGGGCCAGCTCGGCAAGCGGGCGAAGGACATCCCGCAGACTGCTGCTGTCCAGGATG